AAAATATATATATATATATATATATGTATATATATACACACTTTTTAAAATAAATGTAAAAATTTATTAACAGTATTTAAATAAAAAAAATAAATAAAAAAAATTAAAATCTGAAATGTGTAGTTATTTGCTAATTATTATAAACACACATTAAACACACATACATTCAATTATTTTTATACATTATATATTATAAATTAAACAATTCATACTTTATAAAATTCAGAAATTATAATTACAAATTTGTATACATTATAAAAAAATGATAAATTATAATTATGATTATATGTATAATATTATTTTGAGACTAAGAAACTGCATGTAAATAATAAGAAACCACATCACATCACAATCTTCTGCAATCGTTGTCTAATTTTTTCCCATCCCTTCAGTCCGAATCCAGCAAGACACATCACATTGCAGAGATATGCGAAGTACTTGTTTATCCGTTCCTTTGCATGCGAGCAGTGCTGGTAGAAGACAGCTCGTCTTCAGTGACAAAAGGAAAATAACTGTGTGTATGTGTGCCGACTACAGCAGACACACACACACACACACACACACACACACACAAAAACACATGTGTCTCTGTCAGAGCCCGGCTCTGCAGCTATCTCCCCTTTAGTCAAACATACACTTCAGCAGGAGCAAATTACATTTCTACTAACAGTCACACTTAATGTGCTGCTGTATTTGTCTTGAGAATGAGGAGAAGACGTTTCAGGTTATTTAGAATGAGATTATTAACTCAGTAGCACTGCTATCCTGTGCCGTTTTGTATTTGAGATGGTGCAACGAAAGGCCAAGCGTCGAGGACGAATATACTTACAGAAGAGCCGATAGGGAGCCGTGTGCCCCAGTTTCTCAATCTGATAGCTGGAGCTCTTGAGGTGCTTTAACTGTGTCGAAATGACAGGTTACTGGTTTCCTTTCTCTTCCTGTAATGCCGATTTCTCAGTTTCTCCCTCTAGCAATCTCACATGTTTCACCTCTCCTTTAAATACAGTAGCAAACCCAGGCCACACAATGCTCCTCATTGACCTCTAATGCATATCCCACAATACAGTTTTAACCCTTTTCTTTAGTCTCACAAGCCAAGGGAATTTAGAGAGGGTTTCAATCTCACGTCATTTACTTTGAAACAGACAAATTAACCCCTTTAATCCAATACATTGGCAAATATGGCGGCTGTCATATGTATTAATGAGCTTGTGGTTCTGCCATAAACATATCTGAAACAACAATTTTGCAGTTTCCATAAAAGGTTAGAAAAGCTGAAAGTATGTCATCAAAAGAGCAAGGGAATTTCTGCTTTCCATTGTAGAGTTAAGTATCACATTTGAGAGCACACACGTGTCACCTTCCAAATTACACATGAAAACATTGAACACAATTAACATGAATCTGTTCCCTTGGCTCTGACGATATCCTGTAAGGTATTTGAGCCATTAATTGATGTGTGTGTGTGTGTTCACTGCACAATAGCGTGAGATCAATAGTAACGATCCATATCGCCTCTGACAGTGGCCTGTCTGCATTGTGAACTGAAGAGCCTTCAGTGAGTATTTGATAACGCTGAGAAGTCTGATTCAATGTAGTCAATAAAACTGTTCAAAAGGTGATTCACAGATTCTTTTGAGTCATCACATAAAAGCATTTGTGGTCAAATAAATATTTAGTTAGTAGTGCCTGATAAGGAGCTTATACTGTTGATTATACAAATCAGTTCAAAAGAATGATTCATTTGTGAAACAGACATGTGTGTAATAAATCACTGAACGATTTTTGTTTACAATTTCACTACTGCTCAAAAGCTTGGAGTCAGTAAGATTTTTGAAATTTTTTGAAATGAGTCATTTATGCTCATCAAAAGTGCATTTACAGTGTTTGGTCAAAATACAGCGAACACTGTAATATTGTGAAATATTATTACAATTTAGAATAGTTGTTTTATACTTGAACATATTTTAAAATGTAATTATTTTTGTAATGGCAAAGCTGAATTTTTAATGTCACATGATCCATCAGAAATCAGTCTAATATGCTGCTATTTCTTCTTATTAATAATGTTGAAAACAGTTGTGGTACATAATATTTTTTGTGGAAACCATGATATGTTTTTGTTTCAGGTTTCTGTGATGAATAGAAAGTTCAAAAGAGCAGTATTAATTTGAAATAGAAATCTTTTGTAACATTATAAATGTCTTTACTGTCACTTTTGATTAATTTAATGCATCCTTGCAGAATAAAAGTATTAATTCAAAATTCTTACTGATTCCAAACTTTTGAACGCTATATCATACAGATAATCTAAACATGCATAAGCCTGTCAGATGTACAATCTGTTTTTAGCGCAAACATTTAATGAGCACTTGCAAAATCCCAAACATCATCTTACAAGTCTTTTTTTGAACTGATGCCCATCACAATCTTGACTGAACCTAAACTTTTAGGATGACCTTTCAGTCCAGGTGATTTATAACTCTAAACAACAAAAAAACTAAGCTAAATAAACATTTAAAGCTACATAGGTTAGGTGTTTGATTAATTC